ATTGTTTTATGTAAAGTAAAATAAAATAAAAACTTTTTTCTGGCATTTGTTTCTTTAAAAAACCTTCAGGACAGGACATGTCTGTAGTAATGTCTGTAGTCCTTGTCAAACAAATCAGTGAGACTGCTAATGTGCTGTTTATTTACTTCACTGCAGGAATGGGGAAAATAGTATTTTATTTTTGTGTACATAATAATAATAATAGAAAAAAAACTCAAAACAAACACATTTTGCCTCACAGTCACATAAAAGATAAAGTACAGCTTTTAAAAATTGATGGCTTTTGGTCCTATTTGAATTAGGCTTGCAGCTAAGTGGGGAATACTAAAACAATGAAATTATTGTTCTTCTAATATTTTGTTAACAAAAGAAACAACACATTTGTACAGTCTTGCACCACTACTCATTTCTCTATTTTTCTTCTAAGTAGTTCTTGTAATTTGTTTAAGTGTTCTTTCTCGTCTATTTTTAGGCACTTTGTTTCTAGCCTGTCACTAAAACACAAATTCTTCACAGTTCTTTAGGCACATCTAACAGATGAATCAGCTGACGCATCTCTCAAGTGCCATGTCAGGGCCTTTTTTGGATAGTTTATTTCTTGGTGACATTCTTTTCAGTTTTTTCTTTTATATTTGTGAAGTCCTGCTACTTCTTGTTTTGTCCTGCTGATGTCAGGTTTTTAGCTAATACCTCTTTGAGAATCACCTTGTTGGTTCAAAAGTACAATTTTTATGCCTTGAGATTGTATTTCTTAAAATACAGTATGTCTGTACAGTGGGTGGCACAGTGGCACACTTGGTAGAGCTGCTACCTCTCAGGGAGAAGGTCGCCAGTTCAAATCCCAGCCCGTTACTTTTCTGGGTTGAGTTTGCAAGTTTTCTCTGTGCATGTGTGTGTTTTCCCCGTCCACTCCGGTTTCCTCCCACAGATCAAAAACATGCATGTTAAGCTAAATGGTAACCCTAAATTGTCCCTAGGTGTGTGAGAGGGTGAATGGTTGTTTGTCTTGTTTGTCTCTATGTGTCCAAGTGATGGACTTGGACTTGTCCAGGGTGTACCCCACCTCTTGCACACTGATAGCTGGACATGGGCACCAGTGACCCCTGCGACCCATAAAGGAAGAAGTGGAAAAAGATAATGGATGGATGGATGGATGACTGTACAGCTAAGAAAACAGATACTTTTTTGGAACAAGTTGATTAACAAAGGTGGGAATTTTGCTTTTTCCAAGTCTTCTTATATAGAAAGACAGAAGACTAATTTTGTATTTTGAAAAATGTTATGTCTGAATGTTTCAAATGTCAGTGTCACTTTGTAAAAAGAAAAAGGTAGATGTCTGCTTGATTTGGAACCTCTGTATAAATAAACTAAATTGTACAGTAAGACTTGCACAGCACTGCATGCTTGTTATATTCTTCTGTGGCTCTAGACTCTACCATTGTGCCCTTATTTATCAGCAGCAATTTAATGTGAGCTAATTATCCACCAGACTGACATTGGCTTGCTAACATTGTAACTAGAGCCCAATCGATATGGAAATTGTGACTATCGCCGGTGCCGATATTGGGCAGGGAAGACTAATGCCGATAACCGATATAATGGCTGAAAATGTTTGAACTTTGTCCACCCCCAAGAATCTAAGTAAACAGCTACTTTTAAACTTGTTTTAACACTTGAAGTCTTGAAGCAGTCTTCCTAACATACGTTCACATTTTCTACCCTCCACTATTCACTATAAAGTTATCTAGTGTGTTACAAAAATATAAATTAAACAAAGTAACGCCCTTCCCTGTTCATTGTCAGTCACGTATGGTGAAGCCCTAATTAGTATTGACCGCAGCAGTGGTTTTTTTTGTTGTTGTTTTTTTTTAAGCAAAGTAAAGATTTGAGACAATGCATTTCATTGAGGAAGACAACAATAACGTTACTAACACTCATATATTTTACCTCTACTTTAGATTTATTGTTCTGGCTAAAGTTCTACACGGCAATAGCCTATGCTAGGTTATCTAAACGTTAACTTGCTAACTTGAGAGGAACGTTACTAATGACAATCAAGTTGTAGGATTGAAGATAATTTGTTATTTTTGATATATTTTAAAGATCACGTACAATAAACTCACCATGCTCTGTTCAGCAAAATGTGCTACACAGTATTGTTCCCTGCTTTGGCTGTGCTATGAGTAGTGTGCAGCATGGCCATGACGCGAGAGTAGTCCACATGCTCCCTCTGCTGGATACATTATACAATTACGCCATTTGCAAGTAAGGACACGGCTTGTTCCCAACATTTTACGGGTGAAAATTAGAAGTGTTTATGTCTGCGCATAATGGGCCAATTATCAATGATACAGAAATGTCCCCAAACTTTCATATCAGCCTAAAATATCGTCCCTACTGATATATTGGTTGGGCTCTAATAACAACCAATAATTTATGCAAAAACTGTTCAACTTAAAATATCACATTTATAACAAGTCCAGGCCTACACATCACAGTAAGTTGTCCATCATCAATAGTTTTTGCATTTATATTGGGAGTCTGATGTTAAAGTTTTTCTTTTGAATAGTGAATGCTTATTTTTATTTATTTTTTGTTGTTGTTGCCATTTCTGTTTATAACAAGTAAAAATCTACAAGAGTTATTACAAGTTTAAATGATGTAATTTTAGGAGATTTTTTTTTGCACATAATGCTCTTAGGTTAAATTATCAGTATTTTATTGCTGCTTTTTTAGTTAGTTTGTTTTGAGGACACCAGATTTAGAAACCTAAAGGAACCAAATGTTAAAATTACATGAATAGTTTGGTAAAAAAAAAAAACATGCACAGGAAATTACAGTTTAACAAAAACATTTAAATTGATTTTTGGAATTGCTTTCTAGCTTGTTTGATTATTGTATGTTAGATCTAAAATCAAAGTTTTACTGAAGCACAAACTTCTAGTCCATTAAGAACTACACAAATATTTTTTCCATTACAGGTTCAAGTCAGCTATTTGAGCTGCAAACCAGTAATGTTTTGTTTCTGTGTTACCCATTTTAGGATTGTTTGCTGAGGCTTGTTGGTCATATGTCAGGTCCAAAGAAAGGTGCGTTTGGGCTATGAAGAGGCTTGTTGCTGTAATGGTGCACTATTAATAGAAGACAGTTTTTACCGCCCTCTATAATATCAGTCATTCTGACATACATCTGTTTTGCTTGGTTGCATTTGAGCTCTTTCTCTCCACAAGGCCTTTTATAGCCATGTGTTATGGTGGGAAGTTGTGTAATTTAGGCCTTTCTTAAATTGCAGCATTTGGGTGCTGTGGGTTTGAGCCATTAAAAGTAAATTATTAAGAGTTTATCAACATGCTGTTTTTCTTTGAAAAAGTCAAACTATTGATGTTTTTGATATTGGGATTATTCTTCTACAGAAAATGTAACTTGACTTTTATCTGTTGTACATCTTGAATTATTCCTGTCATAACCAAGATTGTGTACTGTATTCTGACAGGTCAATAGATCATCTGTTTAAGGAAGTTTTTCACACTCGTGGTCCGTTATTTGTTATCCAGATTAGCATGTCACTCTCATCAGGCTGTGTTCCAGCTACTTTTAAACATGCTGTGCTGCATCCACTCGTAAAAAAAATTCCAGTCAAGTATTAAATCAGGCCACAGTAGAGACAGCCCTTTTAAGAGAGTTAATGATGTTCTTTTAACAGTTGATTCAGGAATCTCTGCTATTTTAGTGTTTTTAGACCTTTCTGTTGCTGTTGATACTGTGGACCAGAACATCTTGTTGTCACGGCTTGAGCAGGTGGTTAGTATCAAAGGCACAGTATTATCCTGGTTTAGACCCTACCTGACTGACAGGAGTTTTTCTGTTTATTTAGGGGCATGTTCTTCATCTCCTCTGACTTGTGGGGTACTGCAAGGGTCTGTTTTAGATCCACTGCTTTTTAATCGTTACATGTTGCCTTTGGGGTCCATTTTTAGAAAATATAACATTCCTTTTCATTGCTTTGCTGATGTTATTCAATTGTATCTACCCATTAAGCTAGACAGGGTCACTCTGCTGTAACCACTCTTGAACTGTCTAAACAACATTAAAGTCTGGTTGAAACTAAGTTTTCTGAATCTAAATGAAAATAAAACTGAAGTCATCAGCTTTGGTAAATTTAATGTCCTTAGCAGTCTTGGCACCTTGGCTTCATACAGCTACTCCACTGCAGTTGTGAAATTCGGTATCTTCCAGCTAAGACTAATTGCCAAGGTGAAGTCATATGTCCTTTTCAGAGACCTTGTAAAGGTGATTCATGCTTAGGCCTGTCGTGATAAACAGTAAATCAATTAATCGCATGATGAACAAAAATGATCAACCTCATTTTCATTTACCGGCTTTATCGTTTCTCCGTGTCTCTCACTTTGTACTGAAGACACGGCTCAATTCCGGTGCTTTTCACTGACTCCTCCCTTTCTCTTTTCTCTTTAAAATCTGTTTTAACGTCCAAAATTGCGTTTTTGGATTGTTAAAAGCAGCTAAGCTAAGCCAAGCTACGAGCTAAGCTAACAGGCCGACCTCAGGAATAAACCTCCGTCTTGTCGAAGCACCAAAATTCACGGTTGAAACACGTGCCTTCATGTAAAAAGTTGTTTTTCTCTTCAAAAAGAAGCTGAGAACTTGTTTACTGATTTTTTTTTTTATTAAAAGCTTTGTGTGAAAACTGCTATGCTAAAGAGCTCAAATCACTGAGCCTCTGCCATGTCACCATGTCAGGCAGTTTGAGAACAAGTTAGAGCTGTTTTTTCTTGTTGTTGTGTTTTGTATTTTATTGCTAACTTTCTTGTGTTTCCTTAGTGACTCAAGATGTATTTTCTTGTTCTTGTAGTTTTCATTTTAATTTGACTAAATTATAAAGCACTTCAGTCAACTTTTGTTGTTTTTAGGTTCTATATAAATAAATTGATATTGACATTGGCAATAAAGTTCTTGTCGCTCTGTTTTTATTCTTTAAACAATAACACAGGCTCAGAGGAGGTGGAGTCATGAGTGCACAGGAGGCACCCAATCCTGGGAAGGAGCAGGCAAACAGTGGGAATGGGAATACAGCCACAGATGCCTCAACAACCAACAGTACTACTCCACCACCAATTGCTGTAAAGAAAGAACCCGGGACATCGGAGAAGAGCAATGGGAAAGTTGGAGATGTCAATCCTGCTGAGATCTGTGTTGTCATTGGAGGGAAGAATGGAGGAACAAGTGGAGGTGGACCCCGTAGAGCTCCAGCCGAGGGTATGTTTGCCCTTGGTACTCCTCCTCCAACGAAGAGCACAGACTCATGCATAGGTGTGTGACTGTGTATTACCATACATGCATATACTTGGAGAAAAGTGTTTCAATTTTTTATATATACAGGTATATATTCTAGTGCTAATTTTCAAAGGCAATGATTTTAATAAAGCTCATATCTGGTGATCTTTAGTGAACAGTTTTTATTCTAACAGTTCTCTTTAAAACACGGTCCCAATGGCAATTTTCACATCTAAAACTTTTGACCATATATTCCTTCCAACTTAACATTCCTAATATTATTTGCAGCCTAATTACATCACTAATAAATGATTTGGCAAAGATTGGACAGTTTAGCTTACGAAAACTGTTTTATATATATTAAAAAAATGTTTAAGCATCAAGGATTTCAATAATTGTGTTAAAAAAGTTAAAAAATTGTATTTTAATGTTCAATTTTACTTTTTAATTTTTCTTCTGACTCACAGCTTTGAGATTTTTCTTTAAAACAAGTACAGGAAATAGATTTTAAAAACTGTTTATAAAATATTTCATTATTAGTAATGTTGTCAGGATAATATATATTTTTTAATGATAAAGTCAATTTAGGTACCAATAGTTCACCTTCAATCAGTTTTTGTTTGTGCTTCAATTATTCTCCGTTAGGACCATGACTGCTGCTAATGAAAAAGATTTGTTTGGAACAAACAATTATTTATGATTTTAAATAATTTGTTTTGTATTTATTTTTTCTTGCATCATCAAAAATAGTATGTTTTTTAGTGTTTGCGTTGAGTTTGAAATTCCAGTGTTGTGACAACTTGACTTAGAATACACACACACAAAATTTGAATACCGTGAAAAAGTTCAATTTTTCTTGTCAATCATTTCTGAAAGTGAAACTCATATTATTCTAATTTTTTTTAGATGCACGCATGTACACAATAAATAGTTAAAAGCTGGCTTCATACCATCTTTAATAATGCTAAAATATAGCCTTAGTATGTTGCTTCTGTACAATGTTTGTCTTTGTTTAGTGACTTTAGTACTATTGTTCCAAATAACTTCTGGTAAAACGAAAAGTCTCTGGAATCTGAAGCTTTCAACTCAAATCCAAACATTAAAATGATGTAGAAGACCATCTTTGCAGCTTTTTTTACAATAATAATGTTTATTAATTAAATACTTTTCAGAGAAATAAAGCCAAGTGGATCTGCAGATTATGATTTATTGGAGATGTCTTAAGTTGCAGTGAAGTAACAGAAGGATGCTATACCTAAATTATTTGTCTATATTCCTAATGAAACTTTTGCTTTTTTGTTTGATCATTGTTTTCTGCAGGTTCGTATGTATGTGCAGTTTGTGGGAAGAAGTACAAGTATTATAACTGCTTCCAGACGCACGTCAGAGCACACAGAGGTAAGATGCTGCAGTGTTTTGTACACAATTTACCAATTTGTTTCCAAAATAAAGACTAAAATATAATTTAAAAATCTCTACTATTCAGATTATATAAGCATTATGTATAAATGTATATACAGCATTAGCAGTGAAACAAATAATGAAATTAGATACTTAAAAAAATATTTTTACACTGTGTATTTCTCAAAACATAAGCATAGAGGCATATTTCTGTCTGTGTTGCGTCACCTCTTCAGACAGTACTGTCCAAGTGTTTGGGAACATTTGAGCACATTTATGGTGATCTTGAAATGTTACAGTTCTTTGATGGCACAATAAAAAAGGTTTTCAACGGTTTAACACGCTTCTTTTTCACTTTTTGTTTTATAATGCACCATATGGTTTCACTGGATGATAGATTTGGTCTAATATTTATAAAAACACAAATATTTAGTAACTTGTATGTGATCAATACTACTGTACTATGAGCAGCAGCAACTCCAAACAATACAAACAGCCAAAACCAAAAGTCATATAGTAGTCCATCGTTTATCGCGGGGGATCCGTACCCTGAAGTCCTGCGATAAGTGAAAAACTGCAAAGTAGGAATAATAGTACAAGTAGTAAGTAGTAGTTTTATTTTAGTATTTATATATATATTAAGGCATTTTAAACCCTTCCCACACTCTTGCAAAATTCTAAACAATGTTTCTAAACTCTAAATGCTCTAAAAGAGCACAGAATGTCATGATTTCAGCTCTCTGCCGCCCTGCTCTCTGGCACCTGCCACTCTTGGCCACGCCCACTTCTCTGCTGCAGCGCACAGAAAGCTTCTGCACGCAGGTGCTAAATAATTTTAAATAATTTATTTTAAATAAAAATTCCATGCCGATCTTGCGGTTCATCTATCAATCAGCCAGTTGTGCGTCATGTCCAATCTTATTTCGAAAAACCGCAATAGAGAGAGTTTGCGAAAAACGAACCGCTACGTAGCGAGGAGCTACTGTACTTAAAATACAGCCTTTCTGAAGCAGTGCATAAATCTGTTTAATTAAACAAGCCAGTGGGGATTCAAATTGCATTTCTCTTTGTCTTTTTAACCAAAGAGGATTTACTGTTTTCTGAAAAAAGAGCTAGAATATGTCTTACTCAGAAAAGAAAAAAGAAAAAGAAGAACATATCAGTGTTCGTGCATATGTTGGATATTATAACAAAATGTTTATGAGCAGAAAATCCAAGGCAAAGGAGAGAAGTGGTGGTTCTGGTAATGATATCAAGAAGATGTTTGTTTTCATATGTAATTTTTGAAACGCATTAGAATGTTAAATAAGTACATGGGGACTTTATAATTCTTTTTTTCTGATTTTATTTTGCCTTTAACAAAGTTTTTATTTAGATTTGTGAATGCAAAAATATTTTCAGAACATTGATTTTCAAAATTGTTCAGAGTGCATGCAATTATATTCACAGCAGAAATGAGTTTCTTTATTATCTTTTTATATGTGGTGCTGCCTGGGGTACCAAAGATTACATTTATTCATCATTCATCTTGCTTTGTCTTTTGTCGTAAGTAATGTTCCCAGAATTTAGGAACTTATTGATGTTGTACTCTGTAATTATCAAACAGTGATGAGATGAAAATTAAAAGTCCTTATTAATAAGACTTTTGCACTTTTTTTATACCTCACATTGTTGTCTGCAAACCCGATGAAATAATGAAATTTAAATGTTCCCTTCTGCTACAAAGGTAGCATCAAAGCTGAATTAATGTATGTGATGGAAAGTTAGCATGGCCGTGCACAGTAGAGCCTTTGTTATCAAGCCTCTGATTCCTTCATGCCAACATGCTATTAATAAAGCACATGCTTGTAAGTTGCTATTTTTTCTGTTTTAACAAGCTAAAATGTGGAACCGCAGCTTAACAGTACTCTTAGCAATATTTATAAACAGGTCCTTCTCAAAAAATTAGCATATTGTGATAAAGGTCATTATTTTCCATAATGTAATGATAAAAATTAAACTTTCATATATTTCAGATTCATTGCACACCAACTGAAATATTTCAGGTCTTTAATTGTTTTAATACTGATGATTATGGCATACAGCTCATGAAAACCCAAAATGCCTGTCTCAAAAAATTAGCATATCATGAAAAGGTTCTCTAAACAAGCTATTAACCTAACCATCTGAATCAACGATGTAACTCTAAACACCTGCAAAAGATTCCTGAGGCTTTTAAAAACTCCCAGCCTTGTTCATTACTCAAAACCGCAATCATGGGTAAGACTGCCGACCTGACTGCTGTCCAGAAGGCCATCATTGACACCCTCAAGCAAGAGGGTAAGACACAGAAAGAAATTGCTGAACGAATAGGCTGTTCCCAGAGAGCTGTATCAAGGCACCTCGGTGGGAAGTCTGTGGGAAGGGAAAAGTGTGGCAGAAAACGCTGCACAACGAGAAGAGGTGACCGGACCCTGAGGAGGATTGTGGAGAAGGGCCGATTCCAGACCTTGGGGGACCTGCAGAAGCAGTGGACTGAGTCTGGAGTAGAAACATCCAGAGCCACTGTGCACAGGCGTGTGCAGGAAATGTGCTACAGGTGCCGCATTCCCCAGGTCAAGCCACTTTTGAACCAGAAACAGCGGCAGAAGCGCCTGACCTGGGCTACAGAGAAGCAGCACTGGACTGTTGCTCAGTGGTCCAAAGTACTTTTTTCGGATGAAAGCAAATTTTGCATGTCATTCGGAAATCAAGGTGCCAGAGTCTGGAGGAAGACTGGGGAGAAGGAAATGCCAAAATGCCAGAAGTCCAGTGTGAAGCACCCACAGTCAGTGATGGTCTGGGGTGTCATGTCTGCTGGTGTTGGTCCGCTGTGTTTTATCAAGGGCAGGGTCAATGCAGCTAGCTATCAGGAGATTTTGGAGCACTTCATGCTTCCATCTGCTGAAAAGCTTTATGGAGATGAAGATTTCATTTTTCAGCACGACCTGGCACCTGCTCACAGTGCCAAAACCACTGGTAAATGGTTTACTGACCATGGTATTACTGTGCTCAATTGGCCTGCCAACTCTCCTGACCTGAAGCCCATAGAGAACCTGTGGGATATTGTGAAGAGAAAGTTGAGAGACGCAAGACCCAACACTCTGGATGAGCTTAAGGCCGCTATCGAAGCATCCTGGGCCTCCATAACACCTCAGCAGTGCCACAGGCTGATTGCCTCCATGCCACGCTGCATTGAAACAGTCATTCATGCAAAACGATTCCCGACCAAGTATTGAGTGCATAACTGAACATGATTATTTGAAGGTTGGTGTTTTTTTGTATTAAAAACACTTGTCTTTCATTGGTGGGATGAAATATGCTAATTTTTTGGGACAGGCATTTTGGGTTTTCATGAGCTGTATGCCATAATCATCAGTATTAAAACAATTAAAGACCTGAAATATTTCACTTGGTGTGCAATGAATCTGAAATATATGAAAGTTTCATTTTTATCATTACGTTATGGAAAATAATTACCTTTATCACAATATGCTAATTTTTTGAGAAGGACCTGTATATAGCCATTACATTAATACAGCTTATAAACCTTTTATTGTCATAAAAATCATTTTTATGTGAAAAAATTGAGTCTATTATAACATGTTGGCAAAAATCTATTCAAGCACGTTCAAATCTTTTTTGTCATTGTAGAATCAGAGAGCATGGTTGGAGATGGTCTGCCTCAGACACCCAATAGTAAGTACACTTTTGTCATTTTTCCACTAAACAAATTTAGCTTTTATTTGCATGATATAAAAGTTGGTTAACTTGTCTTTTTATAGATATACTTTAGAACGCGTAATCTTAGACTTAGCTTAAAACTGTGAATGCAGTAGGCAGATAATTACAGTAATACTTTAAAATATATAATTTACCAACATTTTGCTAGAAAATAAAAGTTAAATTTGGTGGTAAAAAGGCTGACTGTCTGTCCTCCGAGAGCAGGATTTATCAGGCTTCCTTAACATGAAAACCAAAGTTTGATTTGGACTAAAAATACTTGCGCCTCAGAGTAGTACTTGAGTTATTTATACTTCTACCTACACACATTCACTGCAGTCATTATGTGGATGTGCAAACTGCTTAAAGGTAGCAACGTTAACTTAGCAGCGAGAAAGAAAAGAACAGTTTATGCGGACTTAAAAGAGCAGTTGTAGACGTACGAGAATTACAAGCAAAATATAACCTTCAAGTCTGTGACAGTGTTAAAATGTAGGCCAGAGAGGCAGCATAGTGAAGAAATTAGATTAAATCCTTATGAGAATAGAACAAGCTGCAAAGCACCTTTCATTGTGCTGCATATTTATACTTGATCATGTCTGGCATAATAAGGTAATAATATTAATAATGTAAACTAACAAAAAGTGATTAAATAGAGTTTAGGATGAAACCTAAAATGTATTGCTCTGTTTAAAAAAGGGGTTAAACTTGGCCAGGATTCATTAAACCAGATCTATTATCCGCTGGTGTCATACCATGAATGCCACCAACTGGTGTCCAGGGTAGTGAGGGATGCCTTTAAACTGCACTGTTTGGCAAACCAAGTCTCAACCAGCTCATTGAAATAAAACCAAAAAATTCAACCCGGAAAAGAACAAATTAACACAGAGGCTTGATTTCAGCAGACCTATTAAAGTGAATGTTCAGATTTTTAAAAGTGTGGTTCTGTGGGAACTTTGTGAACAATTAATACTGTATCTTTCTTTTTGTAGATAGGTCTGTTAACGACCTCAGTTTCAAGAAATAGAGTTTAATTCTGAGCAGACTAATGGCTAACAACTAGTTTGACTGTTGCAAGACCAAAGTTGCCTTCTGTTGTCTTAATAAAACAACTTCTATTTCAAAATTTCTTAGTGGTTCATGCAAAAGCTGTTTTATTAATCTTTACACCACTGTCGGTTCTGTCTTATATGGTTATTTATGTATAATGTTGTGGTTCGGGATGGGGCCGATCTGGTATCAGTAGCGACGTCTGATACCAGCATAATTTACGTACTGGATTTTTCCGATTCAACCTGCAGAGATTTCCGATCCATGATGCATGTCTGTGTCTGCTGAAAAGTCTCCATGTGATTCCCTGCCAGCTGCTCTCAAGTTGGCTTCAAACTATGGAATGGATTTCCTGAACGGAGGTTTGTCTCATGAAACCCAGAGAAATAAGACCCGCCTCACATTCAGGAAATCCATTTCATAGTTTGCAGCCAGCTAAAATGTGAGGACTGAACAGCAGCACTGTGGCTAACGGCTAACCAACTTTTCATCGAAACATGTCAGAGATTCTTTATTGTCATTCGCACACCCCATGTGGTGGAACGAAATTATTCTTTATTTTTTATTTATTATTTATGTCTGCTGTGTGGAAGTATTTTACACTAAACACCGCAAGACAGCAAAGTGTAATGTCTGCAGAGCCGCTGTACCGAGAGGGGGAAGCTCGGTTGCGGCATACCGCAGTAAAGTTAGTTTTACGTTGGACGTTCGAGCTCCATGGCTTCAGCGGTGTGTTCTTCTTGTTCAACCCGAAGCAGGGACTCTGATTTTGATCAGCCACGCTTAATCTGCCCCGCTCAGTCTGCCCGTCTCGTACGAGGGGCAGACTGAGCGGGGCAGATCGAAATCAGACTGCCTGCTTTGGATTGAATGAGAAGAACACACCGCTGAAGCCACAGAGCTCGAATGTTTACAGAGAAGTTGGTAAACTTCATCGTAATTAATGACCAACCACTAAAGGATTTTGCAGCTTGATTGAATACTTGCAGCCAATATATAATTTACCATCCAGGAGATAGTTATCAGTACAACAGTAGACAATCATAAAAAAAACATATGAATTGAAAAATACCAGGGGATATATATATATATATATATATATATATATATATATATATATATATATATACATACACGAAACAAAAACAGCTACATTATAAAGCGATGTAAAATACTAATAACAGGAATATGTCTGTGTTGGTTTATGCCATGAACTTAGATGTTTAAAGCCATTAAATCACTTTAATATCCACTTTAAAGCTAGGAATAATTCTAACTTTAAAACTTATCCAACATTAATAAAACTTAGCTCAAGTTGCCTTTTTGGAAATGCATGCATATATTTGTACAAATTGTAAGGTGGAAAAAAATACTAAAAAAAACCCAAGTTTTTTTAAAAGACTGTTTTTTAATCCAAAGGAATAATATAATTTTGTTTGGTGTATTGTATAGTATTGAACTTTAAAGACATGAAAATGATTAATGAGATTGGTACAGAATGAAAGACTGACAGTGAGTGCTTAAATAGACTACAGGTTTTCTCTTGTGAGCAGTCTGAGATGAATTAGTGTGGTCTGTAATTGTACTTCTATTGAGTGACTGCATTTAAACTGAGTGGATAAGAAAAGTATGGGAGGGCCTTGCAAAATTCAAGAAAACGCAGTCTTATTACAGCATAAATTACAGCGTTTTATAACGGTCACGTGTATAAAGCTGCGTTCAATGCACAAAATAAACTGCGTAAATTTCTGCGTTTAGAAGGCAGGCGTAAAAAAATGGCATTTTGGGTGGATTTACGTTGTATTTTATGGCATAATCCAAATTTTTTTTGCGTGAGGAAGCATTGTAAATGTGTGTCTTGTTTAATCATCACCCCCGAACGTAAAAGATGCGTAAGACTGGGTGGTGTGAGGCAGCAATGACGTCACTGTCCTGCGCCGCTTGGAATTGCCAATTCAGATTGATTTTTGGAAGACTTTTTGCAGGAGTGGGGCATGAAAACGAAAAAGCAGTTTGTTCTTAGTTTACTCTGTAGCTGTTACACAATGAGCAGTCTTGAAGAAGAAAATGAAAATGATTTATTTTTAATTTTATTTATGAGTCAAAAAATGCAGCTTGACTTTGAAATGAAAAAGCAATTATTTTAATCCATTTTAATTGGATTTTTGAGCCATAATGGCTTCCATACAAAAAAGACCACTTTAAAAGTTTTTGCTTTTGCTGTGGCATCTTTTTTTGATAAGTCCATGCAATGCCAAATAAGTTTATAGCTTCTCTAATTTTGTAATACCAAGATCTTGTATGATGCTGGAAGAGTTTGACTTCTGGGTAATGTCCTCACCAGCATGTCTCAAAGATTCTCAGGGTTGTATACTTTTTTAATTTTTCCTTTAGATTTTGTAGTGCTGAATCCATGTGTGAAATGGAAGTGTCATCTTCCTAATCCAGACTTTCACAGTTTGAGTCTGGTGAGTGCTGGCACTGTCATGTTGTAATATATTTCTGTTTTCAGGGAAGGGAAAGAAAAATCTGTTCATGAAAAATCATAATGATTCAGTTGATTTTAGCCAATAGCTGATTATTCTGATTTCTGTTTTATTAATTTTTTTGTTGGGCCTATTTCTCTTGAGCATAATTTTAAACTCATCACACCACATTATATTTTATATTTTCTTTGAAGTCCAGTTTTATTGTTTGTAGCAAATACATTTTCTTCATATCAATTTTTTTAAATTGAATTAGCTTTAGTTGTTCTTAGTATCTTAAGGTTTCGTGTTGCTTTCACCATTGAACAGTGCTGTATCTTGAATTATTTTATATATATATTTTTTTTTTAGAAATTACTGATCATAATCATTTATATTCACAGTTTGTGTATCTTTTATTATTAATTAATAGGAAGCTAATCACTGTATTAGTATGGATTACATTACATTAAGGCCAAGTATTGACAATGTATGAGTAAACTCTTAGTTGTCATTTCTTATTACATATATTATATATATCGTTGATATGTGCTGCTGACTATCCATGCTGCTGATCTCATGCTGCTGATTTATTTCATGCTGCTGTTGTTCGGCGTGTTGTTTTGTACTATTAGTTCTTAGTTTAGCATGTTTCTTAGTTCATATCTTAGATCTTATTACAGTTTTTCTTTTACAATTTATACTTTTGTTGGATCCTGTGTACACAATTTCATTCCACCACATGTACCACATGAGATGTGAATGACAATAAAGAAGACCTTGACCTTGATCTTGATCTTGATACATATAGAGAGACTGTAAAATAACAGCAAATTATGTTATTAGGCTTGTGTAACAACAACAATTCTTGTTTTGAGAGTGTTTGTTTTTGTGGCTGTGTATATGGAAACTAAATTATAAAGAGGTCCCCACATAATGGAATTGTGCTTCTGTAAGCAATTATCTCTGCTGTTAACATATTTTATTGATTTACTCTGAAACATGTCCTCACCTGTGCCTGGAACTGCGTTGTTTTAGCTTTAATTATGCTGACAAACCTAAATAATTCTCCAATTTGTGAATTTTATTGCATTTTCAATCATGCAAATTGGGTGAAAAAAAACATATAATGTGTAAATTATTACAGCCGTCATGTAATATAGGTGCAATTACAGTTGGGGGCTCTAATAATCACTATATTTTATTTCCAGGTAATCTCAAAGTTTTGCCTTTGAGGGTTAAAAGGAATGGGAAAATAATTATTTCAAATTGGTTGCGATGACATTCTGTGCCTTCTTTTATTGTATTCCGTGAACAATCACTCGGTCTGGCAACAAATTAAAAAGGACATTGTAAAAAATGTTATTTTAAAAAAAATTAACATTGTTTAGCCACTTTTTTCACTGTTTTTATTTGTATCTTTTCCATCTTTGTTTATTGTTTACTTGTTTAAAAAAAACTTGAAAGTCTTCTCAAAATTGCACCTCATTGAATTACTTTTTTGTAAGAAGAATGAAAATATTTGGAATTAGTTTCACTGTTGCTAAATGATGAAATGTTGTAATGTGGGTTTTATAGTGTGCCCATTTGCAGGGTCAACAATAATTGACATTAAAGAAACAAGAGTTTGAAGTTCTTCTAAGTTAATCTTTATGCAAAACGTGTTCAGATACGATTTGACTGTGGTGTAACAAGAGGCAGTGCAGATGTTTATGTTTATATTGATTAGCCGACATTTTTATGCTGCTGCTTTTAACAGAAAGGTCAGTAAAAGCCTAATGAAACCTAAATGTGGGATATAATTTTCTATTTATTTATAAAGAAGATTCCACTTTTTAAAAACCATAACATACTTTAAATTATATTTTTAACAAGGCTACCATCCAGCTTGATTTACATATATGTGCAAATATATTTTTTATCTATAGAACTTCAGGAGAAAAAGCTCTGTCTCTCTAGAGGCTGTTTATATTTTGTGGAAAATAGATAAATTACTGATGCCATAACACTTTTTCGTTTTACAGCTAAAAATTATTTCTTGAATTCTCAAACTATAAACTGTTTTTATTAAAAAAAAGGTACTCTAGTAAACCCCATCTGGTTTTTATAATATTTTACAATCTGTGTCTCATGGACTTTATTGTCCACAGAGCAACCTTGCAGGATAAAGCTTGTACATGACTGTTTTTCATCCTAATTCTCTGTGTACATTTTTAATCATCTTTCTGTTGAAAAATGATTGAAAACAGAACTCAGTCCTTTTTATTCTTCTGTGTAACACAGTTTTGGAAGCTTTCAAAATGTAAGCACTGTACTAACATCTCTGTCAACAATTATTTGCTATTTGTGTCAAAAGTAAAGTAATAACTTTTTATCAACTGCCAGCAGCACTCCCATAAAACCCTTTGTCTGCAGGCCTTTTATGTGAATCAGATATGAACAATGTTGATTTCTCTCTGTTCATCTGCAGGCAGCTTCCGTTACTCCTGCGACATCTGTGGCAAGAAGTATAAATACTACAGTTGTTTCCAGGAGCATCGTGACCTGCATGCAGTTGATGGTAAAGTGGTGTTTTCACTGTTTGCATCAAAATTATTCATATTTTTTTTGTTAAATTTTCAGATCTCTGCTCATAAGGCTTAAAATGAGTTTTGTACTTAAGTCATTTTCTGTCCATAAAACCTGAAACCTTTTCCAGTTTTACTAGAATATTATTTTTGCAACAGCTTGACAATACTAAACTTTTTCTCTTTAGAGATTTTTGCTCTTTAAATTGACAAACTTTGACAAACAAGTTTAATAAAACTTCACCGTTGAACAAGCTTTTTTTTGCATTACAGTAGTCCCTTGCTACTTCGCAGTTCATTTTTTTGCAGACTTGCTCTATCGCGGTTTTTCAAATTAAGATTGGACATGACACAATTGGCTGATTGATAGATGAGCACGATCGACGTGGAATTTTTATTTAAAATCAATTATTTAAAATTATTTAGCACCTGCTGCACCTGTGTACAGCCCACAGCTGCAGGATAAACTTCCTCCTGCAGTTCCTCCCTAAAATTAACAACTACTTACTACTTGTACTACATCCAACTTCGTGTTTTTTCACTTATCGCGGGGATTCAGGGTACAGATCCCCGCGTAATGCAAATGATTTATGTTTAGGTTTTGTATGGTCAGTGCAATATGATTCATTAAAAATATATTTTTAAATTAATATAAATTATGTTCAATCTTGGGAGCAAACTTTAAGAAATTAAAAAAAGCATTTGTAAGTGATCTTTAGGATTATCTGCAGTTTTATGAACCTATAATAGGTTTTCAAATTAATTTTCCTAAGCAGACGTAAGGAGAGATTAAATAAAGTATTTTATACTTTTGCTAAAATCTGAATTTTCTTCAACATCAACAAAATCCAATTTAACTACCATAACTTTTTATTTAAAACCAATAAGTTAATAATAGTTATTGTATAATTATAGTTTTGATTAAGTAAAATACATTTAGGATAAGCTTGTACATAGTCTTTGCTGCTAAAAAGACAATATGGTTGTGGAATTATTGTTTTGTGAACACAACATGGGAAAAAATAAAGTGACTTGTGATTTAAAGTCTTTTGCATGAGCTTCAGGCTTAAACAAATGACCAAAGTGAAGTAAGAACATACTCCATGTTTAATGTATGTTTTTTGTGTTCTTGAAATTAATTTTAAAATAAAAGTTTTTATTACATGCTGTTTTCTCTGTGTCTCAGATCCATACGAACAGGTGGTGTTACCTGTTGACGGTCTCAAAGAAGAAGAGCCAGTTGAACCCTATCAGAAAATTGGACCAAGTAAGGCTGTTTGATTTACGTTTTAATTTTAATTATTTAAATTTGTGCTAAAACAGTACTCAAACATTTTGCTTCACTATGAACCTTTGTTTTAAAGTAATGGTTCAGTATATTTTTAAAACCAAAAATTTTACAAACTCCAGTGTTTGTTGCTCTCAAAATAAAACTCAAAATCATGCATTTATTGTTTAACTTTTCAATAATTTCCAGTTGTGTGCACATTTCTGGACTCATTTGTTATTGCTATGCTAGTTGTAAAACCCATAAACACAATTGATGTGTATCAGTGGGTTCATTTGCAGCTTGTTGCTGATATGCTAAGATTTGTGATGTTTATCATAAGAGCATTTTACGATATGTTGGCCACAGCCGGTACAGTCAGCTTAAAAAAAAAAGAAACCAAACTTCGATTGAATTACACATCAAACGTTGGTTTTGAAAACAAAATCAAGTCCTTGTATCATCTGAGGACAACTTAACACAATGCCAGTACATATAATTTTTAATAAAGCAATCTTTAGTCACAATATACTTTTATCAGTGATGTTTTAAATAAATTCAGGAATCTAGTTCAGTGTATGTGATGCTTTGGCTTTTCACATCAACTTTAAAGGGATAGTCTCATCATTTTTGAAGTAACTTTCTGTGAAGTAGTTAGCAGTTCTTAGTACCTTATCAGCTGTGACTTCAAATTATATAAATAAAACATTCTGGTAATCCACTGACAAGACGGAGTATTAGGGCCATGCTAAGAAAAAAAAAAAAAACATTACAAACAAGAATAAAGTCATAGTATTACGAGAATGAAGTCGTACGACAATAAAGTCGTAATTTCCTAGAATAAAGTTATAATATTATGAGAATAAAGTAGAAATAATATGAGAATAAAGTTGTAGTACTACAATAATAAAGAAGAAACAATATGAGAATAAAGTCATACGAGAATAAAGTCATAATATTATGCAAATAAGCTCGTAATATTACCAGAATAAACTCGTAATATTACCAGAATAAACTTGTAAGACTGCTTTTTCGTGTCGGACGTTTGATAATATTACAACTGCGGTAAAATGATGAATGTTGACATAGGCAGCAGGAGCAACCCAACCCCGGACTTATTACGAGTTTATTCTTGTAATATTATAACTTTATTTTCATAATACTACAACTTTAACTCGTAATACTACAAGCTCGGTGGTCTGTGATTGCGTCAGGAAGGGCATCTGGCGTAAAAATAACTGCCAAGTCTTCGTGCGACTTAGTTCGCTGTGGCGAACCTTGAAGAAGGGAGCAGCCGAAAGAAGAAGAAAAAAAAAAAAAAAAAACCTACAACTTTATTCTCGTAATGCTTCGACTTTATTCTCATAATATTATGACTTACTAATATTACTTATTATGTCTCAAAATTTTATGACTATTTTCTCTTTTTTTTTTTTCTCTTAGCATGGCCCTAAAACTCTGTCATACACTGATCACTATTGTATTGAGAGAATATTTCATTTGAGAACAGTCTCAAAACTCTGTTCATTTAAACTGTTCAGCATCCACACTGGTGGATATGGATAAGGGCATCCCAGACCACCTCTGAATGTGGCCTGAGTGATCAGATCTGAACTGGGTCTAAGCACCTGTCAGCACTGTGTGCATGGCCCTTCAACATTATACTATAGTTGCTAGACTAACCAATGTGTGAGAACTTTAGCTCTTTCTGAATGAGAATTTTTTCAACAAGTCATTTTTTTATTTATTTGTGTTTTGGCTTAAACAGGAAACTGAAATGACTGAATGAATAAATATAATCACATGGCAGTTGTTGCTAAAAACTATTTTACCCTATTCAGTGACTTATCACTATTAAGACATTGAACTTGTGATATACTGTAAGTTTTGTGGGCCCAAAAACTCCCAGTACGTTTGCAGTTGAAACCCACTTGTGTCTGGTTTAAAGTATTAAACGCACGTCCAGTTAAAGAACTTGTCATGTTGATGTCATGTCATGCAACTAATATTAAACATAAGAGCTAACTATGTCAGCAAAGATTTAAAGTACAAGTTTAAAAGTCCTCTTTCGCAGGGGAAAAACAATCGTCCATCTTCACAGAGGCCACGAGTTCAACAAATGGAGGTTATGTCTCTTTAAACACAATGGGCATTGTTTGCAGGTGGGAAGCCTGCACTTGTCACTGCACTAATGCTTCTTACTGATTTGGGGAGTGATGTTTTGACACATTATGTAAGGAAGCTCCTGTCTCAGGCACCGCTGAAAATAAATTAAACTGAGAAAATTTACAATCAGAGGCACTGGCTCCTTATCTCAAAGCAAACCTAATATTTTCCACTTCTTCCTGATGACAGAAGGTGTAATTAGGAAAATGATTGTGTTCCTTGTTGTAATTGACAACTAATCTAATGTGCTTGATTCAAACTGATATGCTTGTTTCAATACTAATGTAAATTATGTTGGGAAACAATAAATTGCTTGTGTCTATTGTTGTCTACAGAAACAGGAAGCTATGTTTGTGAGTTCTGTGGGAAACAGTACAAGTACTTCAACCCGTACCAGGAGCATGTTGCCCTTCACACACCACTGAGTGAGTGGGACTGCAACCACTATTATATTGTTCATTGAGCTGTTTTATTTTATATAAAGTCACAGATAAGACACAGAACTTTTGTTACATACATATTGGAACACTTAAAGTGTTAAAGAATCATAAAGGCAATCATTCATTTATGTCAAAAGTTGTATATAGAGAAAATTTTGGAGCTTTGGCGCGTAGACTTTACTAATATAAAACAACTTTTTTTAAAGCAGATACTAATTTTTCTAGTATTCACTCCAATAGTCCTAGCTAAAATGTTTGAATCTGCCTTTACCTTTACTGGTATAATATGCACCCTCACAGAAACATTGTGCATGGTTGTAGTTTTACTCTGGTGTGTATCTGACTCACAATATCTCTTTCATTAAAGGCTCATTTGATTTAAAGACCTCACGGGCACAGGAATGTGGCAGTATAGACATGAGTAAGTTTGGACACAGCCAAGCTGGTAAAATAAAAAGTAAGTATAATTTTTATTTGCACATTTTATTTGTTGTTATATAGATATATAGATTTGTATGACTGATATTTACTATTTGAAGAGGTCCAAATAGTTGTGCTATTTATAAAAATAAAAAAAAACTGACACCATAATTTTTTCTTTGTTGCAGGTCCGAATAAAGCATTGAACAGTGAGTTCATATTTTTTTATTTACATACAATTTTCAAATGACTCACAAATGATCCAAAGTGTTACTTCTCACAGATTCTGCAATAGTGTTGATTTCGTGTAGCAACAGCACATGCCAGTGCACGTTGGGCAACAGCACGTGTCTCCCAAATATTTCACTGTGATGTGAGTTCTTATAGTTGTGGTGTTGCATCTGGGAAGAAGGTATTACGATGAGAGGAATGTTTGACAAAGCGCACATTTTAAAAACATGAAAACTGAGCTGAAGTATCTGATCTGTTCAATTCAGTACTGCTCTATTTATTTACATACAGTCTGATTCAATAAAAACTTAATAACCTATTAACTATATTCCATACAAATTTAACAACCAAATTAAATTCAGATCAAATTACAAAGGTCAGATTCATTAGGATTAATTAATAAATTATTTAATCAATTAAAATTAATTAATTAGGATCTAAATCAATTTAGTAAAACTCCAAAAACAGTAAATATAAAACTTTTTTTTAAATTATGGCAACTTAACAAATTTCATCTAATCTTCCTTTTGTTTCATTTTGTTGTTTGGAGTGTGCAGACCTTGCTGCCAGTCAGCTGAGGTCTGTATGTACAGACAGGCAAAGGTCTGCAGAGTCCTTACTTTGACCGGTTGATGCTATTGTGTCAAAATCATAAATCACTCATAAATAGTCATGTTAAAGAGTGTCAAATCATTGTGGCAAATCAACAGATGTTATAATACAAGATTTATTGTGTTTTTTAACTGAGTGTTAGAAAACTTTACACATTTAGTACAACAGATAGCGCTATTCCTGTAATTGACATAATGCTCACGGTAAGATCTCTCCACCTACGCAGAAACGTAATGCAAGGTGAGCTAACCTCCGACATACAAACAAGATAGCTATAATGGCAAAATAGTGATGCTCACTGACCTGAGGCATTTGGTGAGGCATTTTTGCCTTACATTGAAATCCAGTATGTATTAAGAGTGAAAATTTTACTCCACAACCTATTAAACACTGTGCAAAAACGGTTTTATTTTGAACTGATAGTAACAAACAAAGACTAAACTTATACAATCGGAAGTTGCAACATATATCTACATACAAAACACTAAATAAAGCATAACTAGCTTCAAGCATTAACCTTTAATTTAACCATTAAGCATACAATGTAATAATGACAAAAAATGGAGGATTTACATGCAGTTACCTTCGCACAGAAGAACATGCGGTACTTCCTGTTTATCACTGTTGTATTCAGCTACTCATGCCGCAGGCTTTTATCCATCGTTTACATTTTCCAGACTTTGTTTGGGTTTAGGAACTGGAATAAACTGTATTTCACCCTCTAAAAGCTCAGGGTAATGTGTCTGAATTGCTTGTTCTCCACTGACAGCATTTAACCATTTTTTTAACGAGTCTCACAAAATCCTTATGACTGCAGTGATCGTAATGTAAAATCCCAACAATGTTGTCGGAGGAAAAAGAGGTGCAGCTGCAGATAAGGGGTGTTTCGCTCTGGGACAAATTGCGATTGCTTATTGGTCAGTTGCTGACAATCCTACTGGATTGATTGACAGATCTCGTCATGTCAATTTAATTGAGCCTAGTTTATAAAGACGACTACAGATTTGTTACATTTTTTTTGTTTGTTTGTTTTTTGCGGAAATGTTGGTGTCTGTGATTGCCCACATGGCCATTGAAATGTAGCTGAATAGATTTATAGAGTGTTGGTTTAACTAAATTTGGGGTTTAGATATGGTAACAGTAATGTTATAGTTGTATTCTAAAGGTGTAATAAAAAACTTTAAAACAAGTCAAAGTTTCTTTATTTGTTCGGAACGAAATTGCGTACACAGGTTAAAGAAAAACGGTGACAAACAAATGTCACTAGCTACACTTAACACTTAGCCTGGGTTAAAGAAAAGTCAGGATAAGGTTTTGGGTTTATGCCTGAAACTATTAATCCATCCATCCATATTTATTGTATCAAATACGCCTGTCACGATAACAAATTTTGCTGGGCGATTAATTGTCTCAGAAATTATTGTGATAAACAATAATATTGTTTGAAATTTGACAATAATTATTAAATATTGTGAAATTTAAGAAGAAATGATGGTTAATTTGTTTTGAGTGTAGTACCTTTTTTTGACCACTGTGCGGCAGTATAAGACTGTTTGAACTGAAGGATGGATAGTGAGGGAGTGAGCAGCGTGTCTCTTTAAGAAAAATGGGAGGGAGGCCCCTTGACGTGACATGGGCTGTCTCGCGTTCCTGTTTTTCGGTTCTCAAAATGGTGGGCGCTTGGTGTGATTTGAGCTCTTTAGCATAGCATTTGTCACACGAGGCTTTTAATAAAAAATCGGTAAACAACTTCTCAGCTTATTTTGCAGAGAAAAACAACTTTTTACACAAAGGCACGGGTTTCAACCATCAACTTTGGAGCTTTGACAAGACAGATTTTTTCCCGAGTTGGCCTGTTAGCTTAGCTTGTAGCTTAGCTTCTCAGTTTAGCTGCTTTTAACCATCCAAAAACACGATTTTGGATGGTTAAAACAGATTTTAAAGAGAAATGGAGGGATCAGTGAAGAGCACTGTAGTTGAGCTTTTTGTTATCCAGTGTCTTAGTAGAAAGAGAGAGACACGAAGAAAAAATAAAGCCGATAAATGAAAATGAGGTCGATAATTCTCATTTATCATGCGATTAATTAATTTGTTGTTTGTCGTGACAGGCCTAGTATCAAATACTTGCTGTAATTTTAACTTAACTTCACTGACTGTCAGTTTTGCAATTACCGGTATTCCAGCAGAAATATTATTATCTACCTTCGGGAAGTACCTCAGGCTGTAGTTGAAGTTTTACAGCTAGCTCTTCCTGCCTGTATTTGAACCTAAAAACAACCATAGCAGTCATGTAAATAACCATATAATGTAAAATTCATAGAGAAAAATAGCATAAAAAAGAAAATTGTGAAAAAGCAATTGCATAATCTGTTATGAATTTGTTGAAATCAGAGCAGTTTTTAAGATGGCTGCAGTCTGCTTTGGTCTTGATCCTGCTCAGACTAATTGTTATCTAGTCAATTTGGTCAGAATTAAAAGCTGTTTAAAGAACTGCCTAAATGTGCAAGATGTTATTTTTTCATAAGCTTTCCATGGAAGGCAACTTTAAAACTTTTAAACTCTTGCTTTAAACTCTTGTGAGATATTTGTTTTATTAAATTGGAGTTGTCTGTTGCCAGAAAATTTAACAAGACCGAAAGTAAGAAGAAAAGCGTTCACTTCCATGTACACTTAAAATTACATTAGTCATTTGCAATTTTTCAGCTGTCAAAAAACGGACTTTTCTCAAACAAATGTGGATTTTTGTGGCTCAGCCCCCACCCACCCTAATACCATCCCCCCACTCTCAACTCCAACCCATCTTTCTGCTAAGAAGCACTCAGCCTATTTAAAGCATGGCGCACACTCGCATCCTAGAAGTGGGTCAAAAAGATGGAATGAAGAGGAGGAATTAAACCCATATTTAAATATAATATGACCATTTGGATCCTTTTTCAAGGCTGTTTCCTATGATGGATTTGAATGCTGTGACTTAAGATTAAATTAAACGGCATGCCATTAATTTTGCATCATTTTAAGATTTGTATGTGCTTGTCGCTTGAATTTAAATTATCAAAGCCTTTTATTTTTTATGAGCTAGCCATTCATTGTTTGCCCTCTGTTTTCCATAACAGACAGCCCATTTAAGAGGAAATTGGAGAGTGCAATTCAGTCCAGTCTGGTTGACACAAACAGTTCTCAGAACTCAAGCGGTAAGCTCTTAGTCACTGGTTTTGTTAATTTGTGTCCATTTGCATGAAAATATATTGTAATTTTATTTCTGTTTAAAGACTGAAAAGTGTATTTTCATCTGACATTGTTTTGCTGCTCATGCATAGGCTGAAAATTGAGATGGAGGGGGGGTATAGAGGTTTGAGTGACCTACCTTGCATCAACTGTTTCTATATAAAACTTGATTCTGGGAACTGAATTATTATTATTTCTCTCCATACTCAGACCATGAAACTAGAGACCTTATTCAATCTCATCATGTTTAGCTTTGATAACAGCTACAATACCTCAGCCCAGTACTCAAAAATGCATTTGTGCAGCCATGTTATAAAAAACTAAAAGTTGGCATTCAGTGCAAAATATAAACAAAGCTGAATGCAGTGATTTACAAGTTGTTGTTGTTTTGTTTAAGATGGCACAAAAACAACTTAATGTTGAGACTAAGATTTTTTTAATCTTATTTCATTTGCTCATTTTAAATTAAATGCTGACCACTTGTTTCAAAATAAGCTAAAACGGACATGTTTACTACTGTGTTGCATCACCTTTTCTTTCAACAACACTTCAAGTGTTTAGAAGCCAAGGACAAACTGCTGTCGAGGTTTCAGTGATAAATCGTTGCTATTCTTGCTCAATGTTGGATTTCTGCTCCACAGTTTCAGGCTTTTTTTGTATTTTATTATGTTGTAATGCGGCAGCACTGTGACTCAGTTGGTAAAGCTGTTGCCTCTCAGCGAAGTCGTCGGATTGAATCCCGGTTGAGGACCTTTCTGGGTGGAGTTTGCATGTTCTCTTTGTGCATGAGTGGGTTTTCTCTGGGTACTTTGATTTCCTCCCACAGACCAAAAACATGCATGTTAGGCTGATTGGTAACTCTAAATTGTCCCTAGGTGTGAGTGCGAATGATTGTTTGTCTTGTTTGTCTCTATGTGTCCCTGTGCTGGACTTGCATCCTGTCCAGGTGTCCCCCGCCTCTCACACAGACTACTGGATATGGGCACCAGTGACCCCCGCAGAAGCAGGTAAAGATAATGAATGATGGATGGATGGATAGATGGATGGATGGATGAATGGGTGGGTGGATGGGTGGATGGATGTTGTAATGCTCAGTGTTTTTCTGCAGTGGAGAACCAGTTTACAACACCAAAACAATTTACTGTAGACTATCTTGTTGTAAAATGTGCTTAGATCAACAAGGCTCTTGAAAGATTTTGATAATAATAATAATAATGATATATTGATAAGCTGTAGCTGAGCATTATCCATCCATCCATTATCTTTACCCACTTCTTCCTTTTTGGGTCACAGGGGACACTGGTGCCAATGTCCAGCTATCGCTGTGCGAGAGGCGGGGTACAAACTGGACAGGTCTTCAGTCCATCACAGGGATACATAGAGACAAACGAGACAAACAACCATTCACTCTCTCACTCACACCTAGGAACAATTTAGAGTTACCAATCAGCCTAACATGCATGTTTTTGGTCTGTGGGAGGAAATCAAAGTACCTGGAGAAAACCCACGCATGCACGGCGAGAACATGCACACTACCCAGAAAGGACCCTGGCCAGGATTCGATATGGCGACCTTCTCGCTGAGAGGTGGCAGCTCTACCAACTGCGCCACCGTGCCGCACTAACCGAACATTAATGATACCTATCATAATTAGATTCATTTCATATGATACGTGCATGCTCTGCCTTTGAAACTGTCAAACTTGGAGAGTTTCTCTCCTCATCAACAGCCCTTGTAACCCTCTGGAGTCCCACTAAAAACCTGCCAGGACCAAGCTACACTTACAATTTGTCTTTATCCTTTGTGAGTCTTAAAACATAAAAATTACAAAGTGGTCATTTTGTTTCCTTAAATTACTTTTAATTTGACAAAGATGGAGTATTATGATGTCGTTTAGTGGTTACTAAAGTTGAGGTTGTAACCCCATGCGGGTCTTAAGACAACAATTAGGCGGTCTTAAGATGATCTTTCAAAACAAAATAAATTGTTAGTTACATATTTTGTAATAATTGTTGCAAGAAATTAAAACAGTAATCATAAATTGATGTTTAAATACTAATATAGCTCCTCTTGTTTGATTGGTTTATTATTAACATGTGTGTACTTAAACCAGAATTTTTTTTTTAAATCAGAAGCTGAACATTAAACCAGTTAACTATTATTCCTCAAGTGTGGAAGTTTAGTCAGTTTCCTTTGTCTCAAAACTAATCCTTACAGCTGTGATCATGACAATTATAGCAGATCTGTGTCCAGACAGACAAACGATTAGAAGCTTATAAACATACCAAACCATACTAGGAACTCTGGACCTTCACAAGTGACAAACTGGACTCAGTGAGTTGTCAAAAGAAAACTCAGGAAAGTTTCTGTTCCTGTTTTACATTTCACACTGAGCTAAACTGCAATTATGGGAATTGCATTTGAGAAATTCTTCTGATGAACATGAACAGCATAGCAAAATGTTTGATTTGTTCGAGGGTTTTCAGTGTAATTTTGTCTGGACGTTGTTCACTGATTAAAATGAGTTGGAAAAAACAATGCACAAAATGACATGATTTAACAGATTCATCACATTAACATGGTTTCTTCAGGGCATTAAAAAGCATTAACAGTCATTAAATGGATTTATCCAAATTTAAGGCCTTAAATGGCTTTAAAAAAAACATTAAATTTGAACCTCAATGGCATTAACAATTTTTTCATTTGATTTCAAGAAAAACGAGGGACGATTTTGGAAACCGCTCATCGGAGTGATATACAGTATAAGAGTAACATGCAGAACCAATATTAATTGTTTCTGGCCGGTCAGTGCTCAGCTGTCAGAAGATCGCACGTTTGAGAAAAAGCAGGAAAACTTTATGAGCAGAAACAAAATGGGAAAATGCAAACTCAAGCTAAAATGACTGGGAAACGGAGTTTTGAGCACGTCTGCAGCCCGTCAACGGTCAGGATGGTGAAGGATTTTGAAAGAAAAAGCAGCCAAAGCGGTCGACGTGGAAATTCAAGGCGGTGTCATGCTAAAAACTGTTTAGCAGCCATGGGAGCACACACATACTGTTTAAGAATAATTCATAGTTTCATTTATAATAATTAATTTATAATAATAATAATAATTCAGGTCTCTCTTGTAAATGAGTATCTGAGGCTCAATGGGATTAACCTGTATAAATAAAGGTCGAATAAGTGTCAGTTTCAGTTTAATTTTCTGTTTCTGCTGCTTTAGTTCTTGAATTAAACCTTAATAAAACTAAAAGATGAGTATTTGTATGCACAAGATTACTGTATACTAAAGATGTGGCTCTGTTTACTTTTTATTTTTTTTTCCACCAAAAACTGTTTTAAGTGAGTTTCAAGGATTAATAGTTTATTAGAAATATCTGCAACTCACAATTTTACACAGGATTTTAGCAAAATAAACGAGGTGCGGTGATGATAGATGATCTGTGCCACCACCCGGCCGGAGCATTAAACAACAGATTTATTACAGAGAGAATATCAATGATGACGCGCAGTGACTTTGTATAGAGTTTAAAACATTAGTTATACTTAACAAAAAGAATAGAAATACTACGAAACCCTGTGGGGGACATGTCAAAAAATTTTTGCATTGCACGGCACCTTTGATTTACTTGTGACTCTAAAGTCGGGGAGCAAACATCCCTCTGGCATGAAGAGCTACAGATCCAATGCACCGCCTTCATTCGATGTCATTTACAGTGTGGATTTTTGCACAACCGCTGTTGTCTGCACCAAACATATAAAAGTCTCATTCAGTTCCTGAAGTAGGGCTCATGTGGGGTAGCAATCCATGTTCCTGACACTTGCTGCTCCTATCCAGAATTTACAGTTTGATCATGTTTTATCTGCTACGGCGGAGAGGAAAATTCAAACTGCGGTGTGGAAGATTTTGTCGGTGAGGATGTCAGATTCCGAAGATTTTTGGACTGCGTTGAGCCTCGCTACATCGTCCCCAGTCTGAGATATTTTCCAATGTAGCCTTACCCGAGTTACAAGCCGCCATTTCTGACGTCATTGTGAAGCTAATAGCCGATGGCGCTTGGGTGGGTTTTACCACAGACGTTTGGACGTCGTGTTAGCCCCGTTAGCATGATTAGTCTTACAGAACAATGGATAGACAAAAACTTTGAAACTTTGGACTTAAAAATTCTGTCCTTCATGCACAAGAGTGCAGAAGATCCCACACTGCAGCTAGGAACTCGGAACAAGCCTCCACAAGTGAGACAGCTTTGCAGGTGATTAATGCTAATAAATATTATTCAACACTTTTCATTTAATATAAGTTAAAGTGCTATGCATATGGCTGTTACTGGATATATGTCACCAGCTGTTACACAATTTTGTAGCTAATAAGCCTAAATAAGAGGGCTATGTTCTGACAAAGGAAAATATATAAAATATCGGTATTGGATATCAAAGAGAAAAGTTTGCAAACTAAGACTTAATCTACTGTAAAACAACAAAAAAGTTGTGTAATAATTTGAATTCATTGTCAATGGCATCAAAAAGGGCATTCAAATGACACTTCAAACTACTTGTGAAGTTTATGTATTCATTGTTAATGGCATGAAAAATGTTTTTAAAAAATGCCATTAAAAAGCATTAAATTAGATTTGCTGATTTCTGCAGAAACCCTGTGTTGGAGCTATTTATTCTTTATCTTTGTTACTTTGAACTTTGTTAAAATTTGTTGTGGTTTATATTTTTGGGGTCATTTACAAGCTTTATTTGTAGGTTAATAATTGTTAAATTTTCTGTTTTGTTTTCGTTCTTTGCTTCTGTAAGTTAGACAGGACAAACTATAGTACCATTTTCTTCAAGTATAGGGACTGATATAGGACCAGCATGCACCGGGGTGGGGCTATGTTTTTTTTTTTTTTTTTTTTTTTTTTACCAGAGCAGGAGAAGCAGCAGGAAACAATGGGAAGATTGATCTTTGTCAATTACTTGCCAAACTAGAAAAAATGAACTGTAAAACGCAACCTTCAAGTTTTTGGACTTCTTTTGCCTGCATACGAAACATCAACACAGTGCAGCAGTGGCTCATTGCTTGATTTTTAAAACTTAAGATGTTTGGTTTAACACACAATTGCCACTACACCCTGATTAACCAATAGTATCCATACGAATAATCTGAAAGCTCTAGCAAGAACATAATCACACAGCCTAAATGATGTAAACCATTTCCTCAACCTTTTTTTTAATTATTGTCTTGACCATTTTATTGTAAATAATATGTGGTGTTTACAGCTGTGTTTTCAGGAGCTTTAGATTAAAGCTGGCTTTGCAAACTTCAAAGCTGTTTTACTGATGCTGAAACCAGACCTTGTGGCATTCAAGATGAAGGTCTTTTTGTGTTTTATTAGAGTGCACTTGTGGCTGGCTGTCAGTAAAACATTTACAGTGATATGTTATTTGATGCTCTGGTTTGTAAATAAATGCTCGTGACTATTATTTTTTACACAAGTAAGACCAATAAAAGCAAAGATGTTCTGGTTTAATAAAGAAGAGGAAGGAGTGATGTAGAACAGCTCAGTGTACTCTTAAATCCGTTCCTGTTATCATTTCAGCAGGAACTCCAAGCCCTCTGGTGGCCACCTCCTTCTCTACAGTGCAGAGTAAGTCCTTCCCACCTTCCTGTGTTAAAACAAAAAGCAGAAATAGATTAAACTGTTTCTTTCTTATATGCAGTTGGTAAATGCACTGTGATTACATTACTCTTCAGACAAAGAGTGAACGGCCTTCTTTTTATTTTTCTAGAACCCTATACTTGTGGTGCCTGTGGCATCCAGTTCCAGTTCTACAACAACCTGCTGGAGCATATGCAGTCGCACGCTGGTGAGTCCACGATGGCAGGTGAGCATTTAGGCTAACAAGAAAATGTCAGAAATAACTTGGAAAACAATTCACATGAAATTTATAGAGATAAACAGCTATTAATGAAACCAGTTAAAGCATTGTTATTGTTTATTTTGTTATCACCTACGTTGTTTCATTGTTTACTTTTTTTACATTTTGTTCCACTGGCGTTGCTGAACATAATCCTTCTGCGTTTTCCACAGCTGATAGTGAGAACCACACCAAAGGGGACTCTCCCAAAACCTCTTCAGCCTCGGGTCCTCAAGAGCCGCTATGGAGAGGGTCCCAGACTCAGGCCCACCCCTCCGTTAAAATACAAATCCAGCCTCAAAGTATCTCTCAGAGAAATCATACTCTCAGCCGTAAGTACTGCAGCCTCATTAAGTCTTGTGGTTTAGAGGCACAGCATGTAACTGCAGTATCCTCATTAAAGCCTCTCTTTTTGTTTATATATCTATTATATAGGTGCAACATAAGGTCTAAACTATGAAAAAAATAATTGTATTTGTGACAACTGAGTTGTTTTTAAGTTTTAATAGTGCCAAGAATAGCTAAAATTTGATATCTTGTGCTGTCTGCTCACTAATGATTCCTTTCATGTTTTTTTTCTTGCCTTTCTAATAATCTGTCTTTCATCTGTTCTGTCAGAGAATAATGGGCTACCTGAGAAGGAGCGACAGCAGGTGGCTGAGCGCCTATTACGGGTAATGTGCTCTGATCTGAGCATGCTAAATGTGCTTAACAGCAAGGACTTCCTGAAGTTGGCTCAGACCCTTGTGGATACAGGTGCTCGTCATGGTGCCTACTCCACCCGTGATGCTCTTGGCAACATGAGTGCCTTGGCACTGCGCCAGCTTCCTCGCATGTACAACCAGGTGAAAGTTAAGGTCACGTGTGCTTTGGGCTCCAACGCTTCACTTGGCATTGCTGTTACCTGCCACTCCCAGACATCTGGGCCAGATGCCTGCTACGTTCTAACAGCCTACCAGGTGGAGGGGTCCAGACTCAAACGCTACGTGCTCGGGTTAAGGGAAGCCGAGCTGAGGGAAGGGCCTGAGCAGGTCCACCACTGGGTGCAGAATGTACTGTCTGAGTTTGTCATGTCGGACATTCGAACTGTTTATGTCTCTGAGCCACAACTGTGGGCGGCAGGATTTGCAGGATCGCCCCTGGGAGGCGGCGGGCGTGGTCGGATATGTTTGAGATGTGCGGGATGTTCGCTCGGAGCAGTTGTTCAGGCTGTCCTTGGAAAGCGCAGCCTCCAGGCTCGAGGGCTTCACGAGTTAGCTGAGCTTCTCGCAACTTGCAGAGATATTGCCTCCTCGGCCACACTGGGTCTACGTGAAGAACAGTGCTTCAGCACATCCACAAGCACAACTGAGGAAGGTGCACAAATCCCCCCTGCACAATGCCCTACGCCTCCTTGCTGGGATCCTACGGCTGAAGCTCTCCTTCAGGTTCATGCTCACTTCGAACACATTTGTGAGGCCTATGGCCGCAGCAAGGCTACAGCCCCTCTTCTTCAAGGTCTCAACAAGCACCTGTTGGGCACTCTGGCTTGTCTGCTGGCACCTCTGCGCCTGGCTGCGCTGGAGCTGAGCAGCCAGAGACGACCAACCTTACAGCAGGTGCTGCCCGTTTACCTACGTTTGGAGAAGTTTTTCACATCTAAAGCGGGGGAAGCTGGAACTGGCACAGCTAGCAAGCTCTGCCACTATTTCCTCGAAGCACTTAAAGAAAACTTTAAGGTACTGAAGAAACATTGCTCTCTTTTAGTTTTTTTATTATAATTTCACATTAAAATATTTATTGTAATTATGTAAAGAATAAACAAATTCCTTTTTTTTTTTTCAACGAAATCTTAAATGTCTTTCCACATGATCATCTACTGTAATGTTGGCTATTAATGTAATAAATTTGTGTGGTAAATGGTCTCAGTAAGATATTAGCAAAGAGGTGGCAGAGTAGGCTAAAATCCTGCAATTCTGCATCCAGATCTTACCTTACCTGGATTGTTCTGCTTTAAGATGGTCAAATAATTGTTAAAGGAGGCAATGTAGTTACTAAACATCAGAACCACTAAGCAAGTGAAGACCGAGAGACTTATTAGCTTCTAGGAAGTTTTTAGAGTAGAAATTCAATGTTGAAATGTGTTCAAGTGTAAAATATAGGAGAGAATTAAATTAATATTTAGAGGTAACATAAGCTAACAGTTCACAGATAAAATAAACTGAAAACATATTTGATGAAATTATTTGATATAAAATATTTTGTGGCTTTTTTTTGTCTAGGTTGAAAGAGCCCACCAGGTTGCCATGGTTCTGAACCCACAGCTCAAACTGCGTTCGGTGCCGGCCTACCAGCATGAAGACATCATTTCCCGTGCATGCGAAATGGCTGCCGAAAGTAAGGATGGAGGTATGAGTAGCGGTGGAGGTTCAGGTGGAGAGGAGCGGGATGCAGATGGTCCCTCTGCCCCTAAAATAAGCCGTATGGATGGAAGTGGAAACAACAGTGGCCCTTCGAGGAGCACCTGCACGGCATCTGGTGATGAGGGTCAGAGCCAAGTTAGAAAAGAGATTTTTCAATATCTGGCTGAGCCTCTTGTCCAAGGTACCCCTGATCTCTTCCAGTATTGGAGCTCAACAGTTGCTGAGAAGTTCCCCAGGCTTGCCCGCTTGGCTCTGTGGCTGCTTGCTGTTCCTGCTGTGGGCATACGCAGCGAGTGTGTGACTGTGTGTGAGCAGAGCCTGGCTATGAAGAGGAGGCAGCAAGTCACTGCTGAAGAGATGAACAAACTAATTTTCCTTCGCTCTAATCTGGGTTAGAAGGGCAACCCAACATACTCTAATCAACCAAACTTTCACTCAAACAAAGACTCGAGACATTTATTTATATACTGTAGGTTTAGGCAAACTGTACACATCAATGTCCAGGAACATTTAGTAATCAAAGCAGATATTTACAGAAAAAAATCCTCACTTCAAAGGTTGCAAACACAAAATGGTTAATTGCATCTTTTGTGTAAAGACTGGACAGTTGTAAAATACAGTAGACAATAAACAGGAGGATAACGGTAACCCTCAAAAGACAAAGTCTTGTTTGGTACGCTGTCCATGTAGGCAGGAAGAGCTTCTTCTGGTCACAACCAGTGATCTGAATCCCTCCAGTCTAATGATGAAACTGCTACAAGGCTTCAACGCTGTTATCCTCACTGGTTGGCAACATTTTCAGGTAAAGTCAGCTTTCACTGCTTAAATCTGCTGTCACACACCTCTGAAAACTAATCTGCTTTATCGTAATTATTCATTTAGGACCTAGAGGCAAACTACTGTAGCATTTGCAGTAAATTATATTTTTATTGGTGTATGACAAACAAATTAAGGAGTGAAGCATCACTGCCAATTGCACCTCTGACAATAAAGGGAACTAGGTTTACACTTTACTTACACAAATCACTGAAGAGAAACTCACCATATCCAGCAGTGGGCAATGGGCAGATAATTTCATGGTTATATTAGTGGCCATAAAATGTAGCGTCTAATGAATTGCATGCACTGCATGCAATTTTTCAATTTAAAATGCTTAAAGATAACTCATTTTACATTTGAAATATTGTGATTCTTTCCTTTTTTATTAGCAATTGTGAAGAAAAAAAATCAATATTTTTCTTTGCTTAATATTCAAGTCAAAATAGACAGGAAAGCTGAGATTAAATAAAATCAATCAAATTTAGCTTTTGGTTTCAATGATGATGGTAGTTGTATAAATGAGACAGCATCAAATCGTGACTAACATTTTTTTTACTGAAATCGTTCAGTATCCGATTTAACCCCCTTAAAAACAAATACAAGTGCTTAATTCAGAGTAGAACAATTTGAACTAGTGTCTATGCTAGTTTAAAAATAGAAATACTAAAGGGAAGATAAATGTTCTGTGGTCCTTGCTTCATGATGGTTTCCTGTGCTGGTAATTCAGGAATGACTCATCATGTACTCTGAAAAGAGACACTTATTTTGAAACATCAATAGTGTCAGTGCACCAGGCCTGGGCTGGGGACAGGATTCAAAGTATACCACGGTGTTAAAATGTCCTCTGTCAAAACCACTGAATGTATCCATCATACTGTTCCTACGGTTTAAAATACCTAAAAAACTAACAAACAAACAAAAAATACAGAGACAAGGTGTACTTTTAAATAGAGCAGTAATAGTCTGCTCAATAGGCACAATTACTTTAGAATTATAAATAAATTCACAATGTCTGTTGCTATTTGTTTGTATCCTGTGACGCTGATAAAAGGACAAGTTTTTTCTTATCTTAAAGGAAAACACCAGTTTCTGCCCTTTCAGCTACTTCCTGCTGTTTTTCAGCTAATGAAATATTTCAAGCTTCAGCTTCTTCAGTATCCTTCAGTAAAATTATTCAACATTCAGCATTCACTTGGCATTTTTAAAAGGAAATGCATACTCGTTGGTTTGAAACTGCTTTCGGATTTTAACGGTACTAAATTAAAAAATCCATCTCAATCTTTAATAAGTTTTAAAAAATACCCCTGATCCTAAATACCATTGTCAGTGTATATAGTGGCCTGTCACGATAAAAAATTTTGCTGGGCGATTAATTGTCTCAGAAATTATTGTGATAAATGATAATACTGTTTGAAATTTGAAAATAATTAGTAATTATTGTCAAATTTAAGAATTTGATGTTTGTTTTGAGTGTAGTACATTTTTGACCACTGGATGACAGTATAAGACAGTTTGAACCGAAGGATGGATAGTGAGGGAGCGAGCATCGCGTCTCTTTAAGAAAAATGGGAATGAGGCCCCTTGACGTGACATGGGCTGTCTCTCATTCCTGTTTTTCGGTTCTCAAAATGGCAGACACTAGGTGTGGTTTGAGCTCTTTAGCATAGCATTTTTCACACAAAGTTTTTAATAGAAAAAAGTTTTTAAAAAGTTCTTAGCTTCTTTTTGCAGCGAAAAGCAACTTTTTACATGAAGGCACGGGTTTCAACCGTGAATTTTGGAGCTTCGACAAGACAAAGGTTTTTTTCTCAAGGTTGGCCTGTTAGCTTAGCTTCTCCGCTTAGCTGCTTTTAAAGATCGAAAAATGCGATTTTGGATAGTTTAAACGGATTTTGAAGAGAAAGGGAGGGGTCAGTGAAGAGCAGCGGAGTTGAGCCTTTTGTCATCCAGTGTCTTCAGTAGAAAGAGAGAGACACAAAAAAACAATAAGGCCGATAAATGAAAATGAGGTAGATAATTTTCATTTATCATGCGATTAATTGATTTGTTGTTTATTGCGACAGGCCTATATAAATTTAGTATTATTTTTATTATACCCCAAATATAATAACTTTAAGCAATGATTAATTATTAGACCTTTATTTATACAGGTTAGTTCCCATTGAGCCTCGAAGACTCATTTACAAAAGAGACTTGTTATTTCTGTTAATACTTAAGCAGCAGTAGTAATAGTATTTGCAACTTGACATGTTACTACCAGTTGCTGGTAAAAAACAAAACTTAAAAGGCAGCTGTGGCGGCCATGTAAATTTTTCTAATTTACCCATTTTTACTAGACCTCAATTACTTCAATACACCTAATACTGTGAAACTGTGGTAATTCTAAAAGTTATCAAACTTTCAGAATCAATCTCACACTGGCCCAGGCCTAGAGTGCTATACATTATGGTCAAACACTTTGCCCATCCATTGCTACCTTATTAAAACAATACTGTTATTGCTCATGATTTGGTAGACTTGTTTGCAAGACTAGTTCATAGTTTCGAGTGTGTGTGTGCATTTGTATTTATTTTTTCATGCTCAGTTAGAAAACATCCATTCATAGGAAATTGTATCATTTATTACTTTTTTGTTTTTCATTGGAATACAAACATTGTCTTCCTTATGTAAGCTATAGATCTCCATTTTCAAGGCAATAAGCTTTATCACAGCTACTGGTTCCCAACTTTATCTGACTGTTCTCACGGCACTCCTAGAGTTAATTATCAACTGCGTTGAACGTTTGTAAAATCAATAGGGTTTTCTCAGGAATGAGCACATCCAAGCAGGCACCGCCACTTTTCCTCACTGTACCGAAAAGAAACCAAACTGTGACCTCATCGCTGAGGTAAATATGTAACATGGCGTTTTGTTAAAACTTCCACCACCCCCAAATACAGTTGGTGCCATTTGGGATAAAAAAAGAAACACTGAGGATTTTGTTGTTTTTGTTGTTGTTTTTGACCAGATAATTTGCTAAAGTTGACACATGCATACTCATAAAGTCAATTAATGTTTTTCTATATATATATATATATATATATATATATATATATATATATATACTCATAGTTGGGTCAACATCTACCTGTACTAATACCTCCTGAAATGGCTTAGAAGAATGGAAGCTCTGCTGTTTGTCTGCTGTCTTGCTAGTTACGTGCTAGTTTGTTGTCTCAGTTTTGGGGCCTTAAGTCTCTTCCATGTGCTCATTTTAAACCCTTCAGTTATCATGCCTTTGTATTATAAGTAAATGGCCTTCTTTTAAACATTTATTTTTTTGTTATCGTTTTACTCCCCGACTTGTGTATGTTTGCAGGGAATCGATTTTTGAGAGTTGAAAACAGTGACCTCTAGTGGCCCCATGACTACTTTTTACATCCTGTACAACTGTGCTGTTTAAAGTGCATGCATTCTTTATTGTTTAGTTTTTAAAACAGGTCAGTAATTATTTAAAATACCAAAACACAAAAATCAACTGTAAAATATATGAAAATGACTCATTACATCTAAAAGTATTGGTTTTTATTTGTGTGAACCGAAGGATGTGTGCTCGTAAATTGTGTGCTTTTTTTTTCTACAAGGCTGCAGTGCAGTTATGTTTTATTTATTTCCTCTTTCATCAAAAGGCAACCTGACACTTTTAAATATATATATATACTTATTTTTAATACCCAAAACTCCCCTTACCTCATAATTAAAAGTTTATAAAAGTTGTGTTTTCTAATTTATAGGTCTGAATAACTCAGTGTCCCACTCGTCTTTTTTTTACTCAAAGATTTCTCCATTGTTCGTCTTTGCAGCGTCACAATAACCAAGTTCAAAACTGCCACCTGACCCCTCACAGTGATCAGAATCAGAGCAGGAAATTTGTATTTGTCTTTAAGGCTGACGGTGCAGCTGTTGTATTCAAAGTGAATGTAAACTGTACACTAAAGGAAAGGGCATCTGCATGAACTAATAGCATCAGTGTAAAGCAAAAATATATCAGACTGTGGTCTCTGTGAAGTAAAGAATCTGTTTAGCTCGCATAAGTTCAGATGTTTTCGCTTATTTTCAAAAACAAATATTTGTCAGTGTCTTTAGGAGTGGCAATAAAAGCATAAAACACTTAAAGTTACATAAAAAAATCAGAAGCTCTGCATTGCAAGTTGTTTCTCAGCTTCTTAGCATTTTTAATAGACTGTAGGCCTTCTTACCTCTAAGCTTACTGTTTAATAAATGCTTTCTCTTCTTTATGGCTTCTTAGAGTATCTTCATTTTTATATATATTTTGGTAAAAAAGAAAATGATTATAAAGTATATTTAAATTAAAACTTTCAACAATAAATCCAATGTTTTACCTCAGCGCTCAGTTACTCAGAAGGCAGTATTGTTCTTTACTGATTGGGAATCCGTTTGTTATCCGAAATGTAGTTTTAGTCAAAGAAATGGTCAAAATACTGTACATGGGTTTTGTTTTCAACAATTATCCTCAGTTATACTAATGAAGGGACTTATACTGTTTTATTTCGGTTATTAATAGGATATGCTCTGGGACAAATGCCATTGTTGACGTAAAAACGTCAACGTAATTTTCTTAGAAATAACATTTTTCTGTTTTATCAAATAAGTATATCTAAAATATGCATGCGTTTAATAAGATTAATGATATATAATG